AATCAACAAAACGTCATTTGACAGGGGGTGCTCAAACTTTTGCATACTGCTGTAGGTCAATTACATCATGCATTTTGCATTTTGACCAATCAGTGAGCTCGACCTAACTATGATATATATATCACAACAATAATATTTGGTTAAGGTATCACAATGTCCTACTGGGGGGCCGCAGCCTACAGGTTGAAAACCACTGGTCTAGAGCATTAAATTGGTAGACTGTAAAGCACAGTTCTTATTTCAGGAATTATACTTTTGTAATGTTTATAATGTTGGATGTTCCAATAAACTAAAAAATGGAAACATTAACATAGTAACACAAGGACATTTTTAGCCATTCCTTATATTTTCAAAAAATGTATTGAATGTAGCAGAGATGGCGCATTGAGTTGTACTTTAGTGGAAATTTCACCATGAGGTGAACACATTAGCAAAATTGATTCAATTAGGAACCAACCTTAATACGGTGCTTTTTAAACCACAACATTTCAGATGCTTAAGAAAACCTTCTTAGAAAGAACAGCTGCTTTTCCTTGCCACTAACACAGTCAGACTGAGGATCACAAATCCCAACACTGTTACCACCTGTTATGTACATTTTTTGCTACAGATCAATGTGCAGTACTATACTCTTGTGAATGGTTTTCACTTTTGTGTTATTGCTGTTCATGGTTAGCGAGTTAGCCATTAGATGCAGACTGCAAAAATGTAGTGTGACTGCAGCTTTAGGATGCAGTGCTGTTATTGCTTTGAATTGTTAATGGCTTTGATCTCAGTAATTTTAGAATTTTTTGCTACCGAGCATCTGGGACGTGATTTCTTACATGTGTACTTGCATGTAAATATGTCCCAACTTTTTTTTATTTCTGTTCTGTGGTAATGAAAGGCTGCTTAGTCTAGTGTTTGTGTATGTGTGTGTGTGTACTTGTCTTACTACCCCTGTGAAAACCACGTCCTCACAATGATAGGATTTTGTTGGGCATCGCTTAAGCATGTGGTGTTTTTGTCACAAATGTAACTTTTTTTTGGTGGGGGGGGGACTAAAAGAGCAGAGGTTACAGTTAGGGTTATGTTTAGTGGTAGTGTAGTAGTTAGTAGTGTGTAGTGTAGTTTTACGTGGCTGCAGTAGTACAAAAATCAGTGAAAGTCCTCACATGGAAAGTAAGACAAACTGTAAAGCATTCTCAGGCTTTGTAAGGCTGCCGCTCTGCTGTGATAAAAGTACCATTAAATGGACAATACAGCCCCCGCAGAGCCTCACACACACACACACACACACACACACTTGCACTCACTGATACACACACACACACACACAGTATGTCAGTTTTTAGACAACTAAATTGCAGTGGCGGAGAAGGTGCTTTTCTCAAGTTGTACATAGACTTTACGCTGCATCTTAAGTTTCTCCTTCTGTTGAATTGACTTATCCATGCTAACTGCACAGATGCAGTATTGCATAGCTGCATAGGCTGGACAAGCTTTGAAGAACATCAGTAAAATTCCCAGTCAACCTAATGAGAAACGAGATGTTTAGAGTCGCTAAATAACGTTGAGCTTCCAATTTAAAATTCTACACTACCAAGCTGGACTCTGTTTTTGGAGCTAATTAAAACTAGGCAGCTCAGTTACATAACAAAAAACTACACCCGATCTGTCTTATTAACGTAACCTTTTATGTACAAAATAAACCTACATTTAGGTGTTTTGAACAAAATTGACAGTTAAATATAATTTTTGCAAGCATTTAATAAACTTTATAAAACTCTTTGTCGTGGTAGGTGACCTGGACTCTTAATTCTGTACCTGTACTCCTGCTTACGGTGATGATGATATAAATTGATTAACATATGAAAGATTCCTTTTTATCACAGTAGGCCCTCAATTAAAGCTAGCTTCTGTAAGACATGGGTTTGAAAAAGAAGTGTTAATAGCAAATACTTTTATACAGCTTTTAAACAGGTTCACAGATGGATTGTATGTCAATGTTATGTATCAGTAAAAGGGGGATACATGTTCATCCACAGGTTGGTGTAACACTCGTGACATATTGAACTGCAACATTAAATTGTATGGAATGTTGGGAAACTGCTCTGTGTGGCTGATTGGACAGCAAAACAGGGAAGCAGTAATTATGTGATGTTCCTGTGGTTTGTATAGTTTTGTTCAAGGACCCACTTTACCAGGTCACTTAGTGGATACAAAGCAAGCATGAAAGACTGTCAGAAGCCTGTGGGTGGCTTAAATATCAGCCATTATTCAATCACTGAAATTGCCAAAATGCATTACCAATAGAATGGGACACTCCATAGCAGCTGTACATGAACTTAAGGTCACCAGGCCCAGTGCCAAGCGTAGGCAAGAGGAGTATAAAGCCACCCCCCATTGGGCTGTGCAGTGGAACTGTGTTCTCTAGAGTGATGCAGCTCTGTCCAATACGTTTAGGATGAGTTGAAGTGATCCAGAACTAATCATCCAACATCTGTAGTAGGGCTGTACCTTATTGACATAAAATGTGATGTTCGATAAAGCTGTCGGATATCATGATGACGGTGATATGAGAAGCGATAAATCATTATCAGTACAGTGTGCCAATGACTGGATGTAACGCTCTATCTAACTTCTCAAAAAAGCACCATTCACTATTTTGCAAAATGAAATGAAATGAAATACTAACAGCTACTTCTGATGTCATTCTATAAAGGCACAAAAACAAATAAATATATAGAAATTTTTATAATAGACACCCATAAACGAAGAGATATTTTGGGCTATTTATTTATTTTTGCTTACTTTTTAAATATGTTTGTTGTCCGCTACTGCTTCGCACACTTTGAACACAATATCGGTCTTTTGAACAATCCTAATGTTTGATGTGTTTTCACAGGCTTGTAGTTCAGGATGAAGTAGTGTTTGACTGTGCATGTGTGTTTTATAATTAGCCGTTAAGTTACTGTTAAGTTACTGTCATCACAGCTTTTACGATATGTTTATCGCGAAAATTCATATTGAGATAACAAGATAAAAATATGATTTATCATACAACCTTAATCTGTAGCTGACCTCAGTGCTATTGTTTTCAAATCCTCACCACAATATTCTAGTACAAATCCTTTCCAGAAGAATAGAGGCTGTTACTGCAGCAAAGGGGGATAAACTCTCTGTTAAGTCTGTCAAACTGAACATCTCACTGGCAGTACATTCAGAGACTTTGGTGAACACTTTTCAGTCTGCCAGAGGAGCTATGACACATGCATGTCCACGCTAGCCGAAGTGCAATGGAACAGCACGTAGAATTTACGCATTCTGTGTGCTGCCATGTCTTCTATCACTATGTAAACCATGCACAAGGCTTCCTTTATTGTTGGATGCACTGTGATTTTTTTTTCCAAGCAAGCATGCAACCTTATTCCGGATTGGTTAGTGCCTATTATTAACTTGTTTGGTTTCATCGGAATAACAATTGAGACTGTTGTCCTAATCATATATTTGCTTGTTCAAAAAGGTTACACAAACCAAACATTTTTCTATTAAATCAAGTTCTCAAATGCAGCAATGAGAAATCAACAGAGCAGAGGAGATTAAATAGCAAAAGTAGCATATGCACATCACAGCAGATTTTTTATCTCACATGTATAATTGTATGCAAACGTCAGTGCACCCTTAACAAAGTTACTTTATAGATTGGTGCCAGTCCTTGTCTGACCCTGCAATTACTGAAATTTTGATTTTCAAGACTTCTGGACAATGTTTTAGACAGCCTGCTCTCCTTTTTTTATTTATTTTTTTTTCCTTTTTTTATGTATTTATTCATGAGTTATTTGTTACTTATTTTACCTTATAATGTGTACATCTTGAAAATAAAATATTTTCAAAAAAACACAAAGTCACTTTATATTTGATTGACTTAAATAATAAAAAAAATAAAATAGTTATAAAATAGTCAGGTATTTTTTTTATTTTGTTCTGTCCAGTTAGTGTTATTGAACAGTGACATTTAACTTAAACTTGGGAAGGTTCAGTTACATTGGATTTCTTGCTTACCAAGGCCCAGAGAAAAAAAAATTAATAACAACTAACATTTAAATGACTTTAAATGCTTAACCACTAATGATAAGTCCAGGCAGTGAAACACTTCAAATAATGTTTCGTAAACTGTTTTATTTTGAACAGATTTTTATAATCAAATGAGCGTTTTAAAATTGTATGGCTGTTGCCAATTAGAAGAAAAAAGTTTTTAAAAAACCTTGAAAATATCTTTAAAAAAATATTTGTCCGTAGAAGGCAAATTTTCTGTCTTTTCATAAGGTAAAAAAATATTAAACTAGTGAATTGAATTAAGCAACAATAAAGGCTGTACTTAATGAGCATTTCATGCTTTTGTGCTGTCAGGGATGGATGAGCATTCTGGTAGACCTTTCATGTTGAGATTTTTATTTGTCCTCAGGACTGAATTTTGTGGGTAGGTTAATTCAAAGTGATTGTTTTGTTTCACAGTCTCGCTGGTTCTTTATATTTCCATTTCTTAACACACACATCAGTTTTGAACTTAAAATACAGAGAAAAACACAGTTCTCTGTTCAGTCACTTTTAAACACTGTTTTTGTCGTCAACTTTTCTGTTTTAACAAGTCATGTTCACGCTTTACAACTAGAAATCTATGAAAATATGTGAATTCATTGGCCTTATGTCATTGATGTCTAGCTTTTTAGTGTTTGTTCCAAAGAGACATTAATATAAATGCATGTGATTGGATAAACTGCACAACAGGACTGGTACAGAAGCCTTGCTGGTTCATGTTCATGTATGTTGCTGTCAATAAGCAATAGTTGCTGTCCTCATCATTTGAGTTGTTGCTGACTAAAAATGAAAACTTAGATTCAGTCTTGTACCTGTAAAGTTGTACTGACTGTGTGTTTATATAGTGGTGGATGCATCATACTGAATTAGATTAAACACATACTTCTGTGCTTTCTTGTATCTTTTCTGTGTTTTGACAGAACCAAGCTGAAGCTCATTATAAAGGCCATAAACATGCACGTAAACTCAAAGCCATCGACAACCAGAAGAACAAACAAAGGAACCAGGGAAGGGAGAGGGAAAGAGAGAAAATGAAGAAGAGAGAAAGAGAAGAGGGGAAGGCCGGACACCTTCCCGCATTGATGGACAGCAGTGTGTCGGAGAGGACAGGTGTGTTTGTAATACATGTTAAAGCAGTTTACACAAAATAAACTCACTAAAATTATTACAGTATGTAGGCTACAGCATGTGCCTATGAAATCCATAACAACAGAGAACAGTTGGCCGTCTAAGTCAGTGAATTTTATTATTTGCTCTTTTGTCATTTGTGAATTCTTTCATCATTTCAAAAACTGAGGCTACAGATGGTATCGTTGTGTCAGCATGGACTTTCCTTTCTGCTTGTGCATTGTACCTCCTCTTGATACTTAGGATGAACAGAGATTATAAATTGATGGTCATCTGTTGTAAATGCATCGTGTGGTTTCTGTTCAGATCGAATTTGGTCTCTTTTAGACTATTTCACCAAATATTGCGTATGTGTGCATGTGGCTAAAGTGATGGTTAGTTTTTCAGTTTTCCTTCTTAGTCCAAATGTAGTCAGTCAGCCAAGACTGTTTGCTGTCTAAAGCTTCTTTAGTTTAGCACTGGAGCGACAAGGCTAATATAGCTAATACGAATTGGAAGCTTATACTTTACCAAGTGGCGCGGTGCAAACTTGTGTTGTGTAGCTTACACAAATGTCTTAGTTGAAACAGATTGAAGAAATTACTAAGAAAGTTAGTGAGCAAACATACTTCCCTAAGGTTAACATGGATACTGTCCTAAGTTTGCTTTTATAGAAGCTTATACCAACAATTAGCATCATGCAAACTGCAAACTGTTTCTTAAAATACGGAAAAGTATGAATAGATTTCATTATTTGAGATGTCTGCTAGTGATTTTTTTAGCTATTTATTTTCATTTTGTACATTTTTTTTTAAATAACCATGCCATTTATGCCATAGTGTCAGCAACAAATTACTTTACACTTCAGTTCAAACAGCACTGTTTGATGTTAATTTGTGTAGCTTCCATTATTTGTGAGCTATTTTAGCCTCTTAGCTCAAATGTAAAACTAAAGAAGCAAACTTCTTGGCAGATGGGGGGAACGTGTAAATTCAACTTTAATCGGCACTATTATTTAACCTCTTTTTTCAGCAATTATGTGTGACTCCCAGGCTGCACACTTGAAGCTGGATGAAGCCCATGCGCAGGGCAGCTCAGTCATGCTTACCCCCATCTCAGACTCCTCCTCCACAGACCCAGCACCACTTCAATCCCCCCAGGTTTCTCCCAAGTCCCAGCAATCAGTAAGCTCATGTGAAGCTGTCCCAGACCCACCTGCCCTGGGCTCAGATTCAGAGCCTTCAGACCAGCCCAAAGGAGAGCAGGAACCTGAGACTGGAGCAGAGCCAAACAGAGAGGGCCGAAAAAACAAACAGAATCTCCACTGTCCTGTCTGCAAAGTCACAGTCAACTCCAGCTCACAAATGGAAGCTCATTACAGCGGTAAGCGTTGCTTTTGAAATGTAGGATATGACCTGCTCCTAAGAAGAGCAGTTATTAGAGATGGCATAGATCTGATTCCCTTTGTCTGATATCAAAGAGGGAAAAGGAATGAATCAGATCAGGTCCTGTAAAAAATCTAGTAGTTTAAAAAAAAAATTTTCCGATCAGATCAGATCAGCTGATACTCTAGCTTTCGGCATCGGTAACGGAAAGGAAAGAGTGGTATCGTGCCATCTCTAGTAGTTATTAATCTTCCAATTCTCATTGCATTGTCACTAATTGGAGCCTACCACATTACCCCCCACTCTGTAATCCCATTATTATTCATCCCAGCCGCCAAAAGTGGACCCACGGTCATCTGCCATGTATTTGCTTTTGACCATGAAGCGCCGCAGTCTCATCTCCATGGCTAGGGCATGAACTTGGGCACTTGGGCTTTTGTCTCTAATAAAAGTTGGCCAGTTGGTTGAAGTAAATAATGTATATAATTTGCATAGTAGTGAACTTGTTGATCTGACTTATTGTACTTTAGGTTCAAAGCCAAATGTGAAAATTTAACATAAAAGTAGCTATGTATTTATGTGTAATGGATGACTACTTTAAAGGTATCTTTTCAAACAAACTTAGAACATTACAGGATGTTCACAATATGTCTAGTAGTATGGTTTGTGCTGATAGCTTATCATATGACATCATTCATAAGTTACTAGTAATGGTATAGTTTTTAAAGTAATCAACCTTTTAGTGAACTTTTCATCATGACGCTCAAAGGTGAAGTTTGCACACATTTTTGTAACAGACAAAACTGATATTCAATCCAAGTTTTGCTGAAAAATTTGCATGGAGGAGTTCAAAATACTGAGCTAGCTAACTATTTAACTATTCTGCTTCTTTTAGCTTGATAAATCAATGAGCTAGCCTGGATTTGGTTTTAGTTGTTGTTGTCTAAAGTCAATCAATATCAGAAACCATCATGTATTGTATATATAACGGGCTTTAGCTAATATCGACTTCCTGACATCATGTATCTATGCCTCGAACGTTTACTAAAGACTTTGATGTCTAGTTCCTGTAGCTATGTATTCACTTCATCTTCACAAATGAGGATCACCCTTATTCTGTCTTACCCTGTCCGTTTTACTAGCTGTATAATTAACTTGTGCATACAGACACGGCCCTGTTCTGTGACGTTGTAAATAACTTGTTAAGTTCACCGTATATTGTGATTGGTTGGCACATATTTCATTTAAATAATATTTAATGACATCTACCATTTTAAAACAAATACTACATTTTTAGATATCGTTGAAACAGATTTAATAAACTGACAAAATTAGGACTTATTAAGTAGAGATTTTCCTGTTGCGCTCCCCTCTCCCAGTAAATATCTTTATTAAACATTTGTTTAGTGGGTCGGACAGCTAATCAGAAGACTGTGACTCCGTGACTGATCCTCTTTAAATTGGATGCAACCAGATGACTAGTCACTCCAAGGCCTCCACTGAGCAGAATTTGACGTACATAGCCAAAGGAGGCAGGACTTGTGAGATTGTTTGCAAATGGTCTGTTTGTGGTCACAAATGATACAATAAGTGCTATACATAGAAGTAAGAGAAATAGAACATCAGGAAAAAAACAAGGACACAAAAATATTGTAATAGGGTGCTGGCTAAACCTCTCATTTTACAATGTAAAGAAATTTTCAGTGGCGTAATAAGCACAAAGAAACAGCTCGTGCCATTGAACGTACTTCAGTCGGACTACAGCTAAGTGACTAACTGTTCCATAGAAGTCTCTATTCATGCTGACAAAGTAGTGAGATGCTATGGAAGCTAGCGGCGAGAAGATGTCTTCCATACATGGGAGAAGATAAGTGTTTTTGTCGGTCCTTTCTTTATGCCTGAGAGAACGGACTTGTCTGTCTTTGAGAAAGTTTCAAGTCAGTGAACAATCTAAATTTGCTCATTTGTCTACAAGACAGCAGACAAAGTCATTTTAAGGGCATTTTGTAATTATGATTAGTATTAGGGCCAGTCAGTGTGTCAGTTGGCTGATTATAGACAATATCAGGATCTTGTGGATTTATCATTATCAGTGAAAATCCCACTGATAAAGCATCATTATTGAACAGCGTGTTTTAATATGTAACCTAAATGTAACTTATGTATTTATATGAAACCTACAGCCACCTTGAGATTTTAGCATGAAGCATGTTTTCCTTGGGGGAGGAGGAAATTGGCTACGAAATTAGAAAATGTGCTGTCATTCAGTCTTTCACTGGCATGTGGTCAGTCCAGAGCTTGGTGGTTGTGCGTGTTGTGCTTTCTGCTGTTCCAGGTAGCCCTACCGTCTCTCCGCTTTTGGCTTTAAACCCTCTCTGCTCGAGTCAGTGTGCCATTTGCCATGCCACGGCGACTGTGTGATTGGTCTGATTGATGTTGTCATGGTTACAGGCTCTAAGCACAAGCTGATGTTGGAGGGTCAGTGTGTGCAGCCTCGGCGACGGGGAGGGAAGGTGGTCTCCTCCCGCATGAATCCCCGTTCTAAGCGCCATGGCAACAAGAACAGTGCCACCTCCAGCAGCCAATCGTATCATTGCGATGTGTGCGATATAACTGTCAACTCAGAAACTCAGCTCAAACAGGTTAGTTTGCTAAATTAGGTTTAGCAACTTCAAGCTTGTAAGAAAAACACTGAGTATTTCTACAGGTATGGGAGAAACTTGACAATGAGCATTTAATAATGCATGAGTAAATAAATGAAGTCAAGTTTTTGTTTGCTTGTTTGTTTTGTCTTTTTGAAATGACATAACATACCATCTTTTTAGCACACAGCCCTTTTGCAAATATTATGTTGTTTGTGTGGTTGATGCATAAAAACAAACTTTCAAGTTTGGTTGATATGTTTAAAAATGTCAACCAAAACATAAATCTCACACTGCAAGATTGTTCTGAAGACTAAACTGTTCTTGCATTTTTATATGTTTATGTATATTTATATATATACATTGTATATGATATAAAGTTTGAATGCCCCTGGCTGAATTGGTTTTGTTGTTTTTCTAAGTAAAAGTTAAAACATCCTCAATTTAAATATGCTAATTTATTTGCTAATTTTCACTTTCAATTTCTATGTATTTGCTGAGTTTAACATCAGAAAAAATAAAACATACAAAATAAATTTTGCCATAACTTCTGCACAGACCACCTTTTCCTCCAATATGTTAAAGTCAGTAAAATAAACAGGAATTAAAGTGCATTAAAATGTGCAGAAATTTGTTCTCTGTAGAGGATGTGTTAACTTATTTTTATGTAGAAAATCAACAAAACGTAATTTGACTAGGGGTGCCAAACTTTTTGCGTACGGCTGTATATATGCTATATACATATACATTAGGACTGACAAATGACTATAATTATCAGTTGCGATTAATCACATTCTTTTGTGTAGTTAATCGCAATAAACTGCAAACAAGTAATCTATACATGGCACTATATATGTATACAGTACTGTGGAAAAGCCGGAGAACAGCCTTCATTCAATTCAATTTCCAGTCAAAACGGCAGCACAAGTTCCTAAACCTCCAGGTCAAACAATGATTAAAAGATCTAAAAAAAATGGGATTCCTAGCAACCACCTGCAAGACCTGGCAAGACCAAAACTGCCCCCATCAGATAAACAACACTTCAAAGCTTTCATCTTTGAGAGAGAGAAGAAAATTCACCGGTGTTCTTCCACTGTGAGAAGACAAGACTAAGAGTCTGAAAGGATGTGTAGCTGAGCTGAAGCTTAACTTCTAAGACTAAAGCTTTCTTTGAAAAACTGAAAGCAAATCTTCAAAAAAGGATGAAAGCTGTAATAAAGGTAAAGTGTGGACACAATAAATACTGAAAAAATAGTATTATATTTATTTGCTTTGGCTTTTGTGTTATTTTCTTTTAAATATATTTTTTCTGCATTTTTCTAACACTGAAAAATGAATAATGTGTACTTAATGGTCGTTTTGGCTGAAAAATTAAATAAATAAAGGGTGGTCTCTAATTTTTGCACAGTCCTGCATCTATGCATATAGCACCAGTCAAAAGTTTGGAAAAACACAATATAAGTGAAAATCACTTGAAACAATGAAATAACATTTGGGAGAGCAAAAGAAATTGTTTAACAAATCAAGGTATCTTTTTTTTTGGTGCCTTTTTTATGTCCCCTTTTGCCTTAATGCAGTTTTACACAGTCTTGCTCATTCTCTCAAGCAGCCTCATGAAGGAGGCATTTAAAAATCTGTTTTCATTGTTTTAATTTATGTTTTTGGAAGTATGGCATACAGTGACATCAGCTTCACTCTGTATTTTTTTGAACAAATTTCATTTGCATTTAAGAATAAGGCTTTAGATCAAATTGCCTTTAAGATTATGAGAAATATATATTCAGTCAGGAGTGTCCAAACTTTTGACTGACAGTGTGTGTATATATAGTATTGATATCTGTGTATATAAACTGATTTACTAAATGTTACAAACTGTGCTTATATAAATGTAACAGAATGCTCTCTGACCTAGTTTGTCCTCACTGCAGCATATGAGCAGCAGGAGACATAAAGACAGACTGGCAGGAAAACCCCCCAAACCAAAGTTCAGCCCTTACAACAAGAGTTCAGCCAGCTCAGTGCTAGCGGTGAGTCACAACACACACAGTCGCAGACAACATTCACCCTTAAGAGTCTCTCACCCATCACTTCAGTTTTCTGCACACTAGAAGATGCAAACGTTCACTTATAACACTGTGAAATCCTGTTGACTTGTTGAAATCAAGTATGTTCCTAATTCAACTCATGATCACTAAAGTCATCTTGTTAAGTAGCTTATGTTTGATGGATCAGAACGTTGCACATTATCAGTTTTTTTTAGTTAACTGACTCTTTAGTTAACTTTTTCTTTAATTAAACTGTGTGTAGTGTTTAAATTTTGAATGTCTTCTGAGTGTCTTACCACTTACTCAAGTTTGACATGAAACCTAATGAAGTTTCACATAAAGTCTAATTGCAAACATAATGCAACTTTTATTCAGGGAAGTTCCAAAGTTTCTAAATCAGTCGCACAACAGGTAAAAAAATAAACCAATAAATCATTTTCATTAATTTTTTCAAGGCCATTTTCCAGCCTTTCTTAGAACCTCCCTTAGAAACAAACCATCTTCTTTTATTGGCACTTTAAAGTAAAAATATATAAAATATATATAAATGACCCATGTTCTAGTTGGCTACCCTGTGCATTCTAGGCTGAAACACTCCTTAAAACTTCAACTGAATGGGTGGGGGCTAAACGCCTGTTGGCTGAATAGGTGGATATATGTAAATGGATGGATATATGTAAATTCAATATAATTGAATTCAAAACAGCCTGTTTCTATAGCTTTGTTTCCCTATATGAACCATATGGACTGCAGAATGACTGGTATAGTTACAAACTAAATCAGGCTTTGTTATTAAAACAAAAGAGGAAAATTCAGTTTACCATTAAATGGAACCTTTAGGAAAAGTTTAGCTTTTCCACATGTCTGTTTTCATACTGTGACAGTATATAACGTGCCAAATTTTAAGGAACTTTGGATCAGGAAGAGAAGACAAGCATACAACCAATTGATACTATGGGAGTATTGCTAATCTAAATTGAACCATCTGCAATGAGATTTGAAAGCAATCTTCCTGATTGCTATACTGAGGAGGCGCATGTGAATGTGATAAGGAAAGGATCCTTGATATCAAAGCTTTGGAGCCAATTACCTTGATGCACAGTGCTAATCCAATATACACATATTAATCTGGTAAATCTGCACTGTATATTGAGGAATTGTACCAGCTGTGGAAACCAGATGTACTGGGCATTTATTGCATTTATTGGTTATTTACACCTTCCATTAATGTGGACTGCAGGCAAGCAACTCTCTGGTCATGCAGCCATACTGTTGTAACACAAGAGGTGTTGTCATGTTGAAATAAACATGGACTTCTCTGACAAAAACGTTGTCTAGATGGCAGCATATGTTGCTCTAAAATGTATATATATACACCGATCAGGCGTAACATTATGACCACCTCCTTGTTTCCACGCTCATTGTCCACTGAATATAGGGGCACTTTGTAGTTCTATAATTACAGACTGTAGTCCATCTGTTTTTCTGCATACTTTGTTAGCCCCCTTTTACCCTGTTCTTCAGTGGTCAGGACCCCCATGGACCCTCACAGAGCAGGTACTATTCTCAGGGTCATTGTCAGTACTGCAATAAAACTGATGTGGTGGTGGTTTGTTAGTGTGTGTTGCGCTGGTCTGAGTGGATCAGACACAGCAGTGCTGCTGGAGTTTTTAAACACCTCAGTGTCGCTGCTGGACTGAGAATAGTCCAGTAACCAAAAATATCCAGCCAGCAGCGTCCTGTGGGCAGCGTCCTGTGACCACTGATGAAGGACTAGAGGATGACCAACACAAACTGTGCAGCAGCAGATGAGCTATCGTCTCTGACTTTACATCTACAAGGTGGACTGACAAGGTAGGAGTGTCTAATAAAGTGGACAGTGAGTGGACACAGTGTTCAAAAACTCCAGCAGCACTGCTGTGTCTGATCCACTCAGACCAGCACAACACACACTAACACACAACCACCACGTCAGTGTTACTGCAGAGCTGAAAATGATCCACCGCCCAAATAGTACCTGCTCTGTGAGGGTCCTTGGGGGTCCTGACCACTCAAGAACAGGGTAAAAGGGGCCTAACAAAGTATGCAGAGAAACAGATGGACTACAGTCTGTAATTGTAGAACTACAAAGTGCACCTATATAGTAAGTGGAGCTGATAAAATGGACAATGAGCGTAGAAACAAGGAGGTGGTCATAATGTTATGTCTGATTGGTGTATCTTTCAGCATTAATGGTGTCTTAAGAGATGTGCAGGTTACCTATGCCATGGGCACTAATGCAGTAACACCCCCCACCCCCCCATGGTGGTCCGGAGAACAGAACGTTAATTATTTACATGAATAATATTTCCATGACTCATCAGACCACAATACATGTTTTCACTGTGCCCTAGTCTATTTCAGATGAGCCTGAGCCCAGAGAAGTGGGCAGTGTTTTTGGACATTGTTGACGTATGGCTTCCACTGTGCATTAACTTGCATTTTGTGGATGAACAATGTTTATTGACAGTGGTTTGTCAAAGTATTTCCGCAGAAAGTGGTGATCACAGAAGCATGCTGGTTTTTAATGCAGTGCCATCTGAGGGATCGAAGATCATCATCATTCAGTTGTGTTTTTTTCCCTTACCCTTTCCACAGTTATCTAGGCTGAATTGTGGTATGCTAAAGCTATATAAATGATAGATGGTAGCACCCCAACAATCTCTCAAGTCTTAATAAAACTTAATCTCCTGAACTTTGTAAAACTTTCAAATTTCAAATAAATTTTGTTCCAATATGCTTCCATGCTTACAAGCTCTAAATGAGCTGTAATAAAATATGCTGAAAGTTTCAGGCTTAGGAATTGGAATTGGAAGCTAAAAGTTTGAGTCAGCGTTACACACTCAAATGACCAAAGATGAAACAAAGCAAGAATCTTATAGTTGCAGTAAACATGAGTGGCCTGCGGTATACACTTACACAGTGATGGCAAACATGCAATGAGACACTTTTATTTTGTTGTTTAATGTACTTCCAGTCCATATATCCACTTTAATTTTACACACATAATGAGCCAGATAAAACTCGGTGGTAACAGCACAAGAATTTTGCACTTTAAATAAGCGCTATTCATGAAGTCACTGTGATTAGTACACCGGTGTCTTTTTAACGCTGTGTTATTTTCACTGGTGTCCTAGACAAGAGCCAATCAAAATGCATATGTAACTGATGTCATACATTTTAAAGACTCACACCAAGTGAAGCTCCAGTTGCCAAAATGAACACAATAAAAGCCAAAGAAAACCAAAATTCTCAGAAACAGGGCTATGAATTTTAAGGAAAGAACTGCAACAGTCATTTGTTTTGGCGAAGATGCAGCAAAAATTAAACAACAGGAAAAGACAACTGTGGAACATAAAAATGTGGCAGCAAATACAACATTAACTGCTATCGACTGTCAAAAGTGTGCAAGACGGAAAAAGAAATGTTAAAAAAAGCATCCAGATTATTAGCAGAAGTCCCGGCGCACAGTTACAACAAACTGTTTAACTTTTAATCAAGAAACAAAGTTACTTTATCAGAAAATGTTTTAGAAAAAATGACATGCATAAAACGTATAACATCTTAAAATTCAACTTTTAAATGTGGAAATTATATTTTAACAAGTAAGATTTCATTTCTCATTGATAAGAATTCAACCCTTTTTCCAGTTCATTATAAAACAATTTTTAATAACATGAAGTAAAGTTTAAAATACTAATTTTTTATACACAGCTAAAAATTTTATTGATATTGCTGAAATTCTAATTACCATTTTGCCTTTTATTTTGTTTTTCTTGTTCTCAAAAATTTTATTTTTACATGTGAAAATTAAATTTCAGCTAGTAAAAAGTTCATTTCCACTTGTAATAATGTCTTTCACATGTGTAAATAGAATTCCTTTGTAAAATCCATTGTAAATATTACATTTTGACTAGTAAAAATGAATTGTTTACTTCCAAGAAATGAATGTTTACTAGTAAATGTCTGAACGTCGGAGTGAACATGCCGGTGGGTTTTTTGAATCTGGCCAAATGTTTTTTGACATCGTTCTTACAAATATAAATAACGAATTAATTAGCTTTTTCCAACATTGTGATTCAATTTTGACTCATTCCTCTAGGCCAAAGTCTTTAATTCCTCTAAGGTTACAAAGGTCTCGCTGATGGATTTGGAATTTCATCAAAGGGTTTTGAGTCAGGAGGCTATGCCATGAATACATTTTAGGGGCAGTCGTGGGCTGGAGGTTAGAGAACCAGCCTAATGTCCAAAAGGTCGCCGCTCGATTCCCTGAACTGACAGCACGTGACTGAAGTGCTCTTGAGCAAGGTACCTGACCCCCAACTGCTCCCTGGGCACTGTAGATAGGGCTGCCCACCACTCTGGGCAAGTGTGCTCACTGCCCTCTAGTGTGTGTGCATTCACTAGTGTGTAGGTGGTGTTTTGCGGAGGTGAAATTTCCTTGTTGTGGGAATAATAAGAGTCAATTAAATTAAATTAAATTTTGGCTGTATGTTTGGGGTTGTTGTCTTACGGAAACGTCAATCTTTTCCCCAGATTGAGTTTCTTGACAGTTTATATTCTTCTCTAATATGTGACAGTACATCACTCTATTCATGTTTTCTTCAGTGCCATGTAAAACCCCAGTACCATTTGCAGAGAATCAGAACCATCTCACGATGCTCCCACCTCTATGCTTATTGGTTTCTGTTATTCCTGCTGCTTTCAGGTCATTTTTTCACTGCTTCCAAGTGAGTGCTGGCTTCTCTTTTACCTTCCTTATTATAAGGATGGAGAGTTTTGGTTCCCATGAACTTACCAATAGCACATTATCAGTTGCAACAACAAGGATGTTGTACTAACTAAGTTTAAGGTGTTTGCTAGGGCTTTGTACCTTTTTCTGTTCAGGATTGTTTAAAAACGTCCCTGAGAACTTTAGGAAGCTCCTTCACCTTCACCATGATTGTTACTTGAGGTGAAAAATCTTCCAAACTTTCCAACTAATGGCACCACACAAGTCAAAAGGCATTAAGTATGTATATGTGTAGATATAAGAACTGGAAGTGTATTAAATAACAAAAACAACAGTGTCTGAGTTTCACTGTACTGTAGAGTTGCCTTCATAGTACAAACAATTGAACTCTCCATGTATGATCTGTTCACACACTGCTCATTCACACCATCACTGCACCCCATCCCGTTTCTCTCTTTGTAGAATGCGGGGTTGGCTGGTCTGTCAGGCGGGGCTGGCTCCGCCTTTGGGGGAGTGTATCACCCCTACAGCCTCACCACAGTAACTCCTCAGGTGAGCCCGGAGGTCACATCATGTCCAAACCCCAAAGGCTCATCTGTAATGAGGGCAGGATAGGTCAGAATCTCTTTTTGTGGACCATGTACATAGCTCCAACTATTTGCAAGGTTCTAATACTGGTGTATTTTATGCACTTTTAGAAAGAATTCTCTGTAAAAAAAAAAAAAATTGAGGTTAACTTAAAATGTAACTTACATTTTTGAGTTACCTGAACTTTAACTGTTTGAAGTTCTGTTAACTTAAAATTTTAAGAGAGTCTGGACACTTTTTTAAGTTATGAGATTAATTTTTTAACAGCATATACTCAGAAAAACATACTGTATATTTTTCAAGTACTGAACACATCACAAGAATTGCTAGCCTCTAGTTGCGATATAGAAAACCAATGTGAAAAAACATGAGAAAGAGGAATGCAGCAGTAAAGCAGACCAATTCAACAAAAAATTGGCTTTGCAGAGTGAAAAGAATAGCAGCAGCATACACACTGAGGGCGAGAAGTACGTACAATACAGGCAGAGCTCAAAATGCGTGTTGATCCATGCGCTGACACACTGCGCCTGAACAGTTTTGCTTACTATGCAAACTGTGTGTAGTGTCGCCCACTACCTGCTTACTCAGGAGGCACAGGGTTTTAAAAGGTGCAGTGAAATAATGGAGCCTTCAACAAGCTCGAGACAAGACATGAAAATGAAAGTAATGAAGAGAAACCAGTGTTAATAAACAGTGTTCCTATAGAAACATTCTACAGCTAAGAAAACAGATTGTGAAATGATAACAAACTGCAAATGCAGATCGCACCTGCATCACATCATAATTTTCCCCACATCTTTTTCACGTATGTTTATCTGGCCCACAGTCTGTTATTTTGTTAGTAAACATTTTTTTTCAGCACATGCTCAAGGCTCGTGCATCTGTCTAACCCTACGTCTGCGGACACTGTTAAAGAAAGTCTCTCAACATGTCTTTGAGATCCTAATGCAAATTTACACCTGGTTTTAAAAGCTAATGCTGCAAGTTTATCAACTTTTAGTTAATCAAGGCCTCAAATAGCATCCCCAAGTCTGAGTTTGACTTGTGCCTGAAACTGCCCCACCTCAGTGTCCAGTTTATTAGGTTTACCTACCTTGTATCTAAACTTGTTGGCCATTTTATCAAAAACACCTACTATATAGGTGCACTATTCATCTATGCATAGTGGACACACTGAACTACAGTGGACACATATTTATGCAGCTGTCAGTCCTACACCAAGGCTTATTTTAGATTTAGATATTTCTGGCTACAGTGATAGATCGCCAGCATAAACAGTTTCATTTGTGTACTACAGTAGTGAGAATTATTTGAATTTATACCAGCTATACAACCTCCCCCGTCCCCATGCATCCCACACCTGCCACAAACACATTCACTAAATTAGAGGCAATACTGTTCATTGCTTTAGATTTACTGTTGTATTATCATTCATTTATCCATTATATGTGTTTTTGTTTTTCTCTCTCAGACCAAATTAGCCCTTCAGAAGGAGCTGTCCAAAACCTTGACCGCTGGCTTTCTACCTTCACCTCTGACCCCCGCGACCCTCTGCACCATGGCAACAAACCCTCTTACCCTACGCCACACCACCGGGCCGACCGCCATTATTCAAACGCCCCTGCTTAGCCCTGCCCTCTTTAGACCTGCCCCTGGACCCCTGAGGGCAGCGCACGCTCCGATCATCTTCTCTCCTTATTAGCCCCGCCCACCAGAGACTCTGAATTACAGACTCATAAGAAAACATGAAAAACTTTGTGGAACCTTTATTACGGAGAAGAACTGCAAAGAGGTCACTCAAGAAGAGGTTATAACTAAAAAAAAAACTATGCAGCCAGAGAGAGATATATACTGACCATTTAGGAAGAACCAGCTGTGTACTTCAAAATATGAGCCAGTCACTTAAATAGTTCCAACAGAAACACCAATTAGCTTGGGGTCAAAAACGTTCTGGTTTGAGTTCCATTTTGAACTGCAGTTGATCTATTCATGCTCCCCCAGCAAATGCATTCTTTCATATTGACTGTTGCTAAGTTGGACCACTTTCACAGAGTGTTAACAAAAGTCCCATTCAACTCAATGAATTTAGGCTGGACTTTACAGAGCTGCACTGTGTTGTTTAGCTAATTGAAAGTAATCAGGCTGTGAACAGCAACACTTTTGCCACCATGCAAATGTTAGCTAGCCAAAAAAAACTATCTTAAGGCTGGGTTTACATGGTAAAACTTTCATGCATTTCATGCAGTTTTATGCATTTGATGCATAGTTGCATGTTGTGAGTTGCATTCAACATAATATCTGTGCAACTTGACAGTTACACACAGCAATTCAAAAACAAAGTTGCATGCAACACATTCAGTTACTCCACTAGCAGCTTGTATTTTTTGATACACTGTATCGTTCTCACTAAGAAATCATCTGTCGGGTATAATTTACATATTTGCACCATTTTTTAACATCTTATGTGTTTTTCCAGCTGTCATTGCCATTCTTTTAATCTCATATCTATATATCTATAAAATATGGGGCCATCAAAATAGGAGAAAATCTAGCTTAGCATATCACAAAAACATCAGGCAAAAGAATTAACACTGGCTAGTTAACGCTAACTTTAGTTCACTAAAGTTGCTTGTAAGTTTCACTGTGCAAAGTCAGCCTAACAGTGTGACGTTTCACACGGGTACAAATGTGAAATTAATAACACACTTTAAAAGGTATTTTGACAAAAGCTGAGTTATGCACTACAGTTTCTCATTAGGCTGAATGGGATTTTCGTCAGCGTTCTGTAAAGCTTGTCCTGTTTTCCTTCAAGCTCTGGTAAGCCTGTCCATATACTCCTCTGGTGCTTTCAGAGCGTATCTACTGTTGCCAAGGATACCTTAGTTTCCTCTTCCTGTCTGGTCAGTTGCAAAGGACCATGGGTACCTCCTGTCTCCAACAATGAAGACAGGCCGTTTCAGAAGGAGGGAGCCAATGTGAAGTTCTAGTTTGTGTTTTATCGTTTTTTAGCTAGTAGAGGTGCTTTAGGAGTATTCTAGTGTTGATAAGGCAGATGCCAAAATCCCTTTACTTGATTTATTCATATTGTTGGCTTTTTTAAAAAATATGTAGGATAGAATAATAGGCATAGTAAAAGATGGAACAGCAGTTGTGAGGGGGAAATAAGGAAAAGAACGCTAGAAAGAGTTTGAAGTGGGACGGAATGAAAAAAAAAAAATCAGGTTGCCAAAAGTTGTTCTTTTGCTTGTTCTTACACTTGCAAATGTGCAATATAATGTGAGGGCTTTACAGTATTAAGGTGAAAAATAACAGTGCAGTAATGATTAATTGTTTTTAAGCTGCCATAGATGCCATACGGACATTTTTAATGGGCAAATGTCGGCAGTTATTTGTGAAGTAAATTCACTTAAAGGAATACACCAGTGTTTTTAACCTATTCTCTGTCTGCTGCATTTGTAGCATACAGGCGCCTACCACAGACAATGATTTCAACATGTTTGCCTGTTCTTATGAAATAACAGAACTAGGCGACTCATTGAAACCAGGCCCAGCATCAGGGAATTATTTAGTGGCACAGTGCCCCACTAACTAGTCATCATGAGCCAGTAAACCTACTACTTTTTTACATGCTCCTATAGCGGCAGGACTGAGAACTAAATGTAGCTCTGGACTTTTGTCTAGACAAGCCCACGGCAACCACAGTGACCACCTCCATCCCTGGTGGCAGGAGGCTAAAACAATGTGAAACAAAAGCGAAATTGGTAGATATTTGGTGATTTGCTGTAAATGTGACTCTCCTGATGAGTCTCTGCTGAATGTGGTCAGATCTACCATACATTTCTCGCCCCGTAATTTTTGTGCCCTGTGAATACATTGCATCCCATCCCGCCCCCACCCTCCATGGTTTTCAGATGCACCAGGCCTCCTTCAAAATCACTTATAACAGTAAAGTTTGCTGAATTTTGTGAAGATATGTTGACTTACATAGCACAGATTTGAAACTATTTGATTTGAAGCTGTTCCAGGATGAGGATGAGACAGACTGACGGAACTCTTAACAAAGCTGTTCTTTAGAAGAAGTTTTATCCAACTTTTTAACACTGGAATCAACTAAAAATGCAGTTCTGCGCTTTCTCTAAGGTGCCCACTCAAAGTTTGGCTTGAATTTAAATCTGGCACACCTGATTTAGGTGATGAAGGCCTTCAGTGGCATCTGAATATCAGAGTTTTCTTGGATCCATGACAATCAGAATACTCCCCCAGCACCACTGTGCTGGTAAACAATAACCACAAGTTCTTCCCTCGTAAAAACTAGTCCCATCTCTGAAGAACAGATCATGTGTATAGCATATACATACACATATTTACAGCTAAAGAATCTAAAGAACACTAAAGTGTTATTAGGAACAAACAATAACTGATGGAATATACCAACTGCCCATTGGCTTCTTTTGCGAGCCGGTTATAGTGTTGTCCAATTTTTTTACAGGGAATTACGTTGAAGTTATTGCCCATTGTACCATACAGATGTGACAGAGATTAGGTTGAAAAATGCTGTTGTATTCCTTTTATTTCTTCCTCTCACCCTGTTATCCAAGATACTGTTTTCTTCGGCCATTGACAATCAGTTCCAGTCAGACAGGCTGTTGGAAGGCTCACAGTAGAAGATGCCCTTAGATACTGTGGTGAAGGATCAGCAGCCCTGACCCAGGCCCTAATTTTAACCTTGATGGATGGAAAAATGGAGACCAGGCATGAGAAGGCATCTTCTACAAACACCTGGCGAGTGGAGAGAAGGGAGAAGTACATTTTCAGGGACAATAAAACAGGTAAATGGGATAAAACACAACTGTTATGGAAGCAGAAAGCTACTTTACACATATACACACAGCCATATATTTAAGCTGAATCTAAAGCAAGTCTTACACTTACTCTGAAAGAGCTGAGACATTACCACACCTCATTTGCATCCATTTTTATACATTAATGCATCATATCAGTTGGTAATGCAGTTGGGAGAGCTACATTATGTTGGCTTTAGAAACATGTCATTGCCGTTGTATCAGAAACTTGTAGCTCCATTTGTTCCCATTTCTACTTTGAATGCTTTTTAACATTTCATGATGAGTAAATTATCAAAAATTACTTGGAATACAATCTCTACTTTAATGTACATTCAAGTTAATAACGTTTTTTCCTTTTAATATAAACTTGCCATTTCAGAGATACAAAGTTTTGTTGTGCCATTCATATTTTCCTTTATATTTCAGGTAAGAGCACAAAGCAAAGTTCATTTTACAGTATGTCAAAGTAGAAACACTATCCTTCCTACAACATGACACAAGTTTTGCTAAACAATTGCACCTTAATGTAATATTTTGTCATAACGAAGCCTAATGACAGTGCCATAAGGGATGCTACACAGTTTATTAAGTGGTATGTGCAATACAATGTCTTTTTACCTTTTATTAGCAGTTTTGTGTCCCTGAACCTCATCCCTGTGTCATCTGATCTCTTAATATATTAAGCAATTTTACTGGTGTCCTATGAAAGAGATACAATGAGGAGATCATATACAGTTATGTGCAAAAGTCAAAGACACCCCCCCCCCAGTCATTACGTCCATTAAGCATGTATTATTATTTTTCAGGATGTGTTTCCAAATAGATAGAATATGAGATGCACTTCAAGTCAAAGGAAAATAAGCAAACAGAGTGTCCAAAACTGGTAAAAAGTGAAGACTGGAGGTGTGGAAAAATAGCCCTGCAGATTTCTTTGAAAAAACTGAAAGCAAGTCTCCTGAAAAGAATGGAACCTGTAATAATGGCAAAGAACGCACACAGTAATTTCTGAAAATATCATGCTTATTTTCCTTTGACTTGTTGTGTTGTGTTTTGTTAGACTATGTTCAAACTGACAGCCCAGATCAGATTTTTAGAATATCAAGATTGTATCCATATTGATTTTTGATAGTCTGGACAGCAAAAAAAACCACATGAAATCCAATTTGGACGTGGTTTGCAATGCGATTCCAGATGGACAGATGTGTCTTATGCTGGACACTCTGGCTGTTCAAAACGGATTTTAAAGTGTCTTTTGCGTCACTCACAATGCGACAATAACATCAGATCCAGAGTGACGGAGATGCTGGGATTCAAGAAGAGCCCCAGAGATTCATGCTTATGCCAGAGAACTCTGAAGAGTTTGGAGGGTGAGATAATACACCCCCATCTCTCAGGCATCCGCATTTGAAATCCCTGTCACCAGCATAGCCGCGTCGTTAACACACCAGCCCAGGCAAATAGCTTGATGACGTCTGGACAAACAAATCTGATCTGATCTCAAAAGGTCTGATTTGAGAAACAAATGCGATTTGCCTGCAGTCTGAGCACAGCCTTAGAGGCTTTATGTCATTTTCTGTTTTATGCTTTTGTTCCTGAAGCTAGAAATTGATCAACTTGTACTTACTGACTGTTTTGCCTGGAATTAAATAAATGAAGGGTGGTCTTTGTCTTTTGCACAGTACTATATGTACTGTAATACAGTTTGGGACAATCATACATACTTTAATACAGTATGAAATGGTTTATACTGTAATAAAGTATTTGGGGGTCATATATACTGTAATATGAAGCTGCTATCATCTCCCATTTCCATTTCTCTGTGATTTTATAATCTCGTTGTGCAGTAGAATATTAAAGGATATCAGCTCATATGTCCTGAGTTGTATTGAAACCTCACCTGTTGTGTCTCTGCTGGATATTTTTGGGTATCCCTTGCAATAATGTAAAGCCATTCATAGAGATTTT